AATACACAGATATATTGAACTCCAACTTACACATTTGAAAACTTAAGCAAGATTGCCTTGTGGGAAACTGCAACTGTTTAGAGTAGAGGGAAATAGTCTTTTTATGAAGTTGAAGAGAGGCTACTTGAGTATTTCTTCAATGACAGGCAATTCTTGGTGACAAATATGATGCAGAAGGAAAAAACACAAACTTACAGGCTAGTACTTCCCCAGGAAAACAACTGAAATAGAAATCTCTTGAATATTAGCCCTAATCCCTTTTGTATATCTTAGAATACTCATTAAATTCTTTGGATAGCATTTATGAGCATTTATTGAGCACTTATTGTGTGCTCTAGCCACTGGGAGTACAGTAGTGAGTCAATGAGACATTCATGGAAGAGGGGGAAACACAACATGAAAGGGTCAATGAGACATTCATGGAAGAGGGGGAAACACAATATGAAAGAAAATATATAAATAAACGATATACTTTTAGGTAAAGATATAATAAGGATATAATGAAGCAGGTAAAGTGACAGTGACAAGAGAGCTATTTTTGAAAAGTTGGGAAGACTTTTTAAGGAAAAGTGACATTCGAAGAGGGACATGGAGTGAGGAAGGGAGCCACGCAGTGTTCTGAGGGGAGAGCATTACAGGAGCACAGCAAGAACCAGTGCCCTGAGAAGGAGTAGGAATTTCTTATTTTTCAGAAAAGGTGAAGAACATCCTAAAGAAAGAGATCTCGGTGTTCCATACGTTAAGAATTCACTGTTGTTGCTGTTGTTGTTTTAATGTTTATAAGGCCTAATGCTGTAAATTTCTTTCTATTGCTTACAAGTTTGTGATACTGTTTTATCTATGTACCACTAAAAATTCCTCCTGCATATCTCGAAGGCCTAGAATCCCATTCACAAGAGTCAAAGTTTTTCATTCCATAAGGAGAAATGAGGCTGGATCAAAAGCGCCCCTGGGTTTAAATCTGCATCCCACTCCCCCCATGCCAGGCAGTAGCAGGCTGCCTAGAATATGTAGCTGGGAGGGTCACAAAGGGGTACAAAGAGAGGAGCTACAGAAGACATCTTCAGTGTTCTGAACTTTCAGTGCTGTGGGGCTGTGAGTGTACCTGACTCCCTCTCAGGCCCTTCCCATGAAGTTATATAGTAACGAGGAGAAAGTAGTTAGAACAATAGATAGGAACAATCTGCTGACTAAAAAGAAGGAATGATTGTAAGAAAATAATCGTTTTCAGAAATCCCTTACCTGAGAATGTTTTAACTGATTCAGGCCCAGCCCAAAAGTTGTTTGACTGGTCCAGCCCATTCCCAGAGGGTCTCTGAACAGACAGAGCTCTCCTTGAGATAGTAATTAGTTACTAGTCCCCATTGTTTCCTTCATTCCCTGGTGCTTCTTCTTTCACGGGGCTTTAGCAGGCCTTTTTTGTGGGCTTGTCCTGAGCCCTCAGACAAAGAAATTTCTTACAAGGGGGTAATAAATTGGGGTAATTTTAGGCATCATCCAGGAAGATTGTGCACCCCGAAGTACCATCAGCCAATGAGGAACTGGGGGGAGGGACTTGTACACTAGGGAATAAATTGCTTGCTACAGTCCTTTTCCATGTGCCTGCCCTTCAGAAACCCAAATTTTATAAGGCTGTAATTAAAGTCTTGCTTCACTGTATCTCATGTCTCTGTGTCCATCCTTTGGCATTGGACGGGTGAGGGCATTTCTCACAATGATTAAGTACCTGTGTGGTGGTAAGCCAGCCTGGCCACCTGCATCAATATTTGAGGCTAGTAATGTTATGCTTGTTTATGAACTGCCTGTGTAAACCTGAGCTCAGTCATTAGATGGTGTGCAGAAAGCTTATCATACACATTTGGATTGCTGTCTACTCAACCCATTACTCTATAAGTAAGTTACCCTGTAATAAATCTCTTTGCTTTATTGCATGGAATGGCTCATTTCATTGTTTGGCCTCAAGATACCTTACCAGTTAGGTGGACAATCTGCCCTTGGTCCACCTTCAGATACAGCCCCAACTGTTACAGAACTGGTATCTCCCCTATACATGCAGCTCTGGTGGGGACAGAAACAACAGGGTCTACTTACAATGGGGAGATTGAGGCTCAGAAAAGTGGGGCCTTGCCCAGGCTCATGTGGAAAGCCCATTCTGATTCCTAATCCTTGCTCTATTATCCAAACCACATTCCAGGCTGGGGCCAAATGGGGTCCAGTCCATGTTCCATTTCAGGAAATGGGATTGTTGATTTTTCATTTACACACAAATGAAAAATAAACCCCAGATGTTTGAAAACATTGCAACACATCTTGCTGGAACTTAAAAGTGCATTCTGACTGAAAAAAATTAAATTAGGAAATCCACATAGCAAAAAAGATGTTTTGAATGAAAATGCACTTTGTCTTTCTCTCACACTCATACAAACAATATCTCATTGTTTTTCTCTAAGGAGCCAGCTGTAAAGGAAACTGGGGGAAGGGGATGGATACAACATCTCATTTTTGTGTTTCATACAGAGCTAAGCTTTTAGGCAAGCCTTCTTGAGCTGTAGGGGGTGTGGCATGCATGAAAATTAAATGACCCGATGAAGCTTATAAAATAGCTTGGGAGAAGCCAGTCACCAAGACAGGCATCTCAAATTGGATGACTTTGCATGTGGAAACTGCCTTCATCTTAAAAAAAAGGTATGTACTATAGTTTTAATTTTCATTTATGATAATTAATGTTTAAAATAGAGACAATGTTGGCTTTCAACTAAAAATAATAACCACCACTGATTGAGGGCTTATGCCGTTAGCTTTAGGACTTGGTCTCATTTTTCCTCAAACAAACTTTTAAAGTAGATATTATTAGTATTATTTTTCAAGTGAGAAAACTGAGGTTTAGGTACACTAAGCAGCGTGCCAAAGATGAGACCAAACCTGATGTTGACTCATTCCAAAGTCTTCTGCTTACACTATGCGCTCGCCTTACTAAATGAGATGGTAAGAAAAATTTCCATGCACCAGAACTGCACTAGATGAATTTCCAAGGAGTTACCCAACTGTGCATTACAGTAAAACTGAAAACTGGAATTAATTGTGTGAATAAAAAATGCATTTAACAATATGGCACAAAAATATTTTCTTCAGAAGATATGTCAACACAGGTCACTTCCAAATGAGGTGTGAAAATTGAGTGCATAGCACACTTAAAATACTGAGGCTGGGGCTTCTCTATGGGGAAGCTTAATGACTGTGAGTAGCATCCTTTTAAATGCTCATATCTGCAGTCAGTGCCTGGCCCAGGGTGGACGCATTGTAACCTTAGTGAAATTACTTTTAAATTTTTTAATATTCAGTTAAAAATAATATTTAAATTATATTTATTTTTTAAAGTATTTAAACTCTTCATTGGGATAATCTTCCCATTGGTATCAAAAGAAGATGAAAAAATATGTGTCCATATTTTACCCAAGGTCATAAGCATATGTTAATGACATGCTCAACAAGTGTTGGGTGAACCAAAATGGAAGGGGCATTGAAAAAATATTATGGATGCTCTCCTCCCTTTCTCTCACAAGGATTTTTAAATGTAGGAATAAAACTACTATGACAAAAAGGCATCTTTGGAAGAGATGCAATCAAGGAGAATTAGCCTTGTTCTGAAATCCTCCTACAGAGCTAAAGAATATGTTTCAGCCCACATAGAAAGTTTTGGAATAAGACATTTGTCAGAGTCAGCTGTGGAACTGACTTTTGATATAACTGTCACATGATGAAGCGAGAAGCGTCACGTCACAGAGGCAGGTGTTTTCCAAAAGGCATCCACGGTAGTGTACAGGAGGAAATGTGGTCTAGGGTGCTGCAGCCAGGAGAGCTGCAGATGGGGCCCACTCCCAGCTCTCTGCTTCCTCTGAGCCTCAGCTTCAGGTGAGATAAACAACATCAAAGGACCTATCTAGTTTTAGGGACCTTGTAGAATGTGCAAAACATCTAGCCATCTTTTGAGGTTAGATCCTCTGGGTAAGGCCTTTAGCTTGGGCCTACTGAGTGGAGCTCCAGAAGTCCTAAGAATCTCTTGAAAATGGATGCAATTTTTTATGGGTTTAGGCTGGATTTCTACAAATTTATCATCCTCTAAAAGGTTACAAGACAGGTGTTGTTTACATTGTGGTAGGAAATAATGGGAAATGGACTAAGGAAGGTGGGCCCACTGCAGACTTGCTCAAGCATACCTCAGCAACCACTCCCTTCCCACCAACCCCAGATGGTAGCTTTCACTCATTACATAACTGTTCTTTTGAAAACTAGGCAATGAAACCTCCAGAAGAAAAGCTATTGATTATTAAAGGCTATTTGGAGGAGAGAGATTCATAATAAAGTGGTTATAATTATTCCTGTTATGACACATCCTTTTAAATGCTCAGATCTGAGAACACTTTGCTTGCACTGCATCAGTCATCTTCATTGCAGGGAGAAAGGCAAAGGACTGGAAATAGCTCATGAGCAGCCACAGGCAAGGAGTCACAAGGCAGGCAGCAGCCAGAGAGCACGTCAGGCTAAGGAGCAGGGAGGAGCACGGGACGCCTCTGGCCTGCAAAGGACACTGCAGTCTCCCTCCCCAAGCCCACTGACCCTCTCAAAGCCAGCTCTGCTGCCACAGGACCCTTGTGGTTGAAATGCTTGCTGCACAGTTATACATCAGCCAACAGCCCTGCTCTGGTTAAATGCACATCATCTGTGACAAATACCCTCGACAGAATGTCAAAAAAAAAAAAAAAAAAGAAATTAGGGAAATACAATAATTTGTTTCTTCTTTTCATAACAACAATAACTAGCATTCATCGAGCATTTACTCTGTCAGACACTGCTCTAAGTGCTCTCTACAAATTATCTTATTTAATTCTTACAAAAACACATGAGGTAGGCATGATTAATGTTCCACTTAACAGACAAAGAAACTAAGACATAAATGAGGCACCATTATACTTAGTATGTGGCAGAGCCGGAATTCGAACCCGGGCAGGGTAACCTGGAGTCCCCAGCTGGCTGCTCCCTGCTGAGGTTGGTAGGACAGCCCAGCAAGATGAGGGCGGGGTGGGGGGTGGGGGCAAGGGCAGGGAGGCGTTTCACTTTGAGTCTCAAAGGACCCGGAATGTTGTGCATGGTTTTGTTTTTGTTTTGTGCTTTCCTTTCATAGTTTGCTTGAAGGCTTTTATCTCCCCCTTTGCGTATTGCCCCTCCTCATTGTTTCTGTTCATTAAACAAGTATCTACTGAGCCTGACACTTCGAAGTCCTGCGGGTGATTCAGAGGAGAGTCAGAACCAGAGAATGCATAATTGGGTCGGGAGTGGGGTGCAAAATCAATCCAACGAACTCTAGGAGCAGACAGAAGGTGCTCTAAAAGAGGTACAATGGCTCTGAGGAAGAAGGCCTCACAGCCAGTGGTGCTGACAATCAGGTGTCCCTGCGGGATGAGGGGTGGACTGCCTGCAGAGGGACCAGCCTGCGCAGGAATCTTTCTCTGTGATTGCCTGTCCTCAGGGGCCTCGGAACGACGCCAGCTGCTTTCTTTCCCCAACTGCAGGTTCCCTCCACAGCCACCCAGCCTCAAGATGGTGACGATGCTGTTGCTGCTTTCTGCGCTGGCCGGCCTCTTCGGGGCAGCAGAGGGACAAGCATTCCATCTTGGGAAGTGCCCGACTCCTCCCGTGCAGGAGAATTTTGACGTGAATAAGGTGCGGTAACAGGTTACACTCCTGTTGGTGTTGTTATCTGCTGTTTGCATCAGCACCCTACACGGTTCTGCTTTATTATTCCGCTTTCCTCTCCACGGCAAGCCTTGGGACAGCTACTTACCTTATTTTGGGTTTCTCCAAAGCAGACTCTAAGGCAAGGACTGGGGGTAGAGAGTTCTAGACAGATGACCCCGGGAAGCAGGGGTGAGCTCGTGGGAAAGTGAGGCGGAGGAGGCAGAGGAGCAGCAAAGGGTGCGCTCCCAGGCAGTTACTCTGTGAACAGCGGTTCAGTCCTGCTGGGGATCCTCTGAGGAAATGTGTAAACTGCACCTCAGACAGTCCCACGGACGGATGCCAGCGGGCCACGGGAGCTCCCATGCATGGCACTGGCCAAGCCCTCTGGCAGAGGAGGAGAGACACAGGGTCTCCGGTGGGAAGCTGGCAGTGCGTATGGGAATTATCCACCGTGGCTGAGGTGAACTCCGGGGTGGGCTGAGGGGCTTTGGATGGGTGGGAGCATTGGCAGTAGCTGCTATGGTACTATTATCCCTGTTCTACAGATAGAGAAGCTGTATGTCCTACCCGGGTCACACAGCTAGTAGTGCAAGTAGGATTCAAAACTAGGCTTCCCAGCATTGCAGGGCACACAAGGGTTACTCTAACAGGACCTAGGAAAGGCCAGAACTGCTCAAGGGGCTTTCTTGTTACCTGCACTGAAAAGAAATCAGTATAACCAACTTCCCCATAAATAGTCTTTCTTCCTGGGATGGGGAGGAGGGCTGGAGGGAAGGAAGTAAACCTAGGAAAGGCCAGAACTGCTCAAGGGGCTTTCTTGTTACCTGCACTGAAAAGAAATCAGTGTAACCAACTTCCCCATAAATAGTCTTTCTTCCTGGGATGGGGAGGAGGGCTGGAGGGAAGGAAGTAAGGAAGCGGCAAAAAGAGGTAGCTGCTGAATGATATGACTTAGAGGCTCCCACCTGCTAACTC